ACACCTCGGCATCTCAGAGCTCAGAGCTGCGAAGATGTCTCTCGCGGACGCATGACCACCTCGCGAAGGGCATCTCAGAGATCAGATGTTCGAGGATGTCTCAGGCGAAACGGGCCGGACCACCTCTCGCGCGGCATCTCCGAGGTCAGAGTTGCGAGGATGTCTCAGGCGAAACGGGCCGGACCACCTCGCGCAAGGCATCTCAGAGCTCAGAGTTTCGAGGATGTCTCAGGCGAAACGGCCCGGACCACCTCTCGCACGGCACCTCGGGGCTCAGAGTTTCGAGGATGTCTCAAGCGAAACGGCCCGGACCACCTCTCGCGCGGCGTCCCGGAGCGCAACTTTTCGAGGATGTCTCAGGCGAAACGGCCAATCCCGGCCAACTCAGAAACGAGAGTTGTGAGGATGTCTCAAAGCGAAACGCCCAACGAAACGGCCCGGACACCTCTCGCACGGCACCTCGGGGCTCAGAGTTTCGAGGATGTCTCAAGCGAAACGGCCCGGACCACCTCTCGCGCGGCGTCCCGGAGCGCAACTTTTTGAGGATGTCTCAGGCGAAACGGCCAATCCCGGCCAACTCAGAAACGAGAGTTGTGAGGATGTCTCAAGCGAAACGGCCAAAACCATCAAATTGTTGTGAGGATGTCTCTGCTCCGACTTCCCTCGGCCGGAGTTAGTTTCTATCAAAACAGCACCCCGTTCAGCAAGCTGTTTGGGGAAAAATCCTGTTGGGGAACCCTGTCTCGGAGCCCAGAGTTGCGAGGATGTCCCAGGTCGCACCTGGTCGACGAGTAAGCTGTCGGGTCGGCACTGTGAGAGGCTCCACCGCCATGCTGTGAACTCAGAAGCAACTTTAAGAGGAAGCGGGGGAGGGCGCGGAAGCGGGGGGGCATGTCGTGATGGTTCCCTCGGGGATGATATCGAGAGGTACGCGGCGCACGTCTCAAAAGAAAAATCGTGACGTCGGATGTCTGGGGAGGGCGGAAGGCAGTGCGCGCATGACGGATGCTGAGGCGGCAGAAACGACGACGGCGGGGACGGGGAGGCGGAGGCAGAGGCGCAGCAGCGGGAGGCGGGAGGCGGGAGGAGGGAGGAGGGAAGAGGAACCAGGCGGGAAGTGGGAAGAGGGAGGCGGGAGAAGGAATGAGAGAGGTTGTGATTGGAGCTCCTGTGCTACGAAACGTCTCAGGCAGAATGGGCCAGACCATCTCGCGCGCAACATCTTCGAGCCTCGCATTGCGAGGATGGCTCAATCGAAACGGGCCGGACCACCTCGCGAGCGACATCTTGGAGCTCAGTATTGGAAGGATGTCTCAAACGAAACGGGCCGGACAATCTTTCGCACACGTTTTGACAAGTCCACATCGCACTCGCTTCCCGTTAGGTCCTCTCCTGCAACTCCATTCCTTCTCACTCCTCCTCCTCCTCCCCCTCCTCCTGCCTGCTCCCTCATGCACATCATCCGCCTCCTCCTTCTCCCTTCCATCTTCCCTCCTCCTTCTCCTCCTCCTCCTCCCTCTCCTCTTCATCCCGAACGGCATCTCGGAGCCTAGAGTTGCGAGGATGTCTCCAGCGTAACGGGCTGGACCACCTCGCGCGCGGCATCTCGGACCCCAGAATGCGACGATTTCTCGGGCAAACGTGCTGCGAGGAAGTCTCAGGCGAAACGGGCCGGACCACCTCGAGCGCGGCGTCTCAGAGCTCCGAGTTGCGGGGGCCTCCTGGTGCCTCCTGGGGCCTCCTGGGGACCTCCTGGGGCTTCCTCCTGGGCCTCCTGTGGCCTCCTGAACTCCACCTGGGGTTTCCTGAAGCCTCTTGGGGCTCCCAGGGGGATATCAAACCTGTGGCCGTTTGGGCCTCTCCAAATGGAGGGGGGGGCACAAGAGCAGGAAGAATCAACGAATCGACACCGGATGTGTATTAACTTGACACGTTCTGATAGGCGGCCTCCTGGGGCCTCCTGGGAGCCTCCTAGGAATCTCCTGGGGACCCCTGGGGCCTGTCCTGGGCGTCCTGCGGCCTCCTGGAGCTCTCTGGGGCCTCCCCCTCCTCCTGCCTGCTCCCTCATGCACATCATCCGCCTCCTCCTTCTCCCTTCCATCTCCTCCTCCTCCTCCTCCTCCTCCTCCTCCTCCTCCACCTCCTCTTCATCCCGAAGGGAATCTCGGAGCCTACAGTTGCGAGGATGTCTCCAGCGTAACGGGCTGGAACACCTTGCGCGCGGCATCTCGGACCCAGAGTTGCGACGATGTCTCTGGCGAAACGTGATGCGAAGGAGTCTCAGGCGAAACGGACCGGACCACCTCGAGCGCGGCGTCTCAGAGATCCAAGTTGCGGGGGCCTCTTGGGGCCTCCTGGGACCTCCTGGTGACCTCCTGGGGCTTCCTCCTGGGCCTCCTGTGGCCTCCTGGACCCCACCTGGGGCTTCCTGAAGCCTCTTGGGGCTCCCAGGGGGGGATATCTAACCTGCAGCCGTTTGGGCCTCTCCAAATGGAGGGGGGGGGGGCACAAGAGCAGGAAGAATCAACGAATCGACACCAGATGTGTATTAACTTGACACGTTCTGATAGGCGGCCTCCTGGGGCCTCCTGGGAGCCTCCTGGGAATCTCCTGGAGACCCCTGGGGCCTGTCCTGGGCGTCCTGCGGCCTCCTGGTGCCTCCTGGGGCCTCCTGGGGACCTCCTGGAGCTTCCTCCTGGGCCTCCTGTGGCCTCCTGAACTCCACCTGAGGTTTCCTGAAGCCTCTTGGGGCTCCCAGGGGGGATATTAACCTGTGGCCGCTTGGGCCCTCCAAATGGAGGGGGGGGCACAAGAGCAGGAAGAATCAACGAATCGACACCGGATGTGTATTAACTTGACACGTTCTGATAGAGGGCCTCCTGGGGCCTCCTGGGAGCCTCCTGGGAATCTCCTGGAGACCCCTGGGGCCTGTCCTGGGCGTCCTGCGGCCTCCTGGTGCCTCCTGGGGCCTCCTGGGGACCTCCTGGAGCTTCCTCCTGAGCTTTTCGTGGCCTCCTGAACTCCACCTGAGATTTCCTGAAGCCTCTTGGGGCTCCCAGGGGGGATATCTAACCTGTGGCCGCTTGGGCCCCTCCAAATGGAGGGGGGGGCACAAGAGCAGGGAAAATCAACGAATCGACACCAGATGTGTATTAACTTGACACGTTCTGATAGAGGGCCTCCTGGGGCCTCCTGGGAGCCTCCTGGGAATCTCCTGGGGGCCCCTGGGGCCTGTCCTGGGCGTCCTGCGGCCTCCTGGACCTCTCTGGGGCCTCCTGAGGCTCGCAGGGTCCCATGGAGGATATGTAACATGTGGTCTTCTGGGCCCCCAGGCTGGACCACCTCTCGCGCAGCATCTGAGAGCTCAGAGTTGCGAGAATGTCTTGTGCGAAACAGGCCGGACCACCTTGCGCACGGCATCTCAGAGCTCAGAGTTGCGAGGATGTCTCAGGCGAGACGGGCCGGACCACCTCGCGCAGGGCATCTCAGAGCTCAGAAGTTCGAGGATGTCTCAGGCGAAACGGGCCGGACCACCTCTCGCGCGGCATCTCAGAAGTCAGAGTTTCGAGGATGTCTCAGGCGAAACGGGCCGGACCACCTGACGCGGCGTCTCAGAGCTCCGAGTTGCGTGGGCCTCCTGGGGCCTCCTGGGGCCTCCTGGTGACCTCCTGGGGCTTCCTCCTGGGCCTCCTGTGACCTCCTGAACTCCACCTGGGGCTTCCTGAAGCCTCTTGGGGCTCCTAGGGGGATATCTAACATGTGGCCGTCGGGGCCCCCCTAAAATGGGGGGGGGCACAAGAGCAGGAAAAATCAACGAATCGGCACCGGATGTGTATTAACTTGACACGTTCTGATAAGGGGGTCTCCTGGGCCTCCTGGGAGCCTCCTGGGAATCTCCTGCGGACCCCTGCGGCCTGTCCTGGGCGTCCTGCGGCTTCCTGAAGCTCTCTGGGGCCTCCGGGGGCTCCCAGGGGGGATATGTAACATGTGGTCTTCTGGGCCCCCAGGCTGGACCACCTCTTGCGCGGCATCTGGGAGCTCAGAGTTGCGAGAATGTCTCGTGCGAAACAAGCCGGACCACCTTGCGCACGGCATCTCAGAGCTCAGAGTTGCGAGGATGTCTCAGGCGAGACGGGACGGACCACCTCGCGAAGGGCATCTCAGAGATCAAATGTTCGAGGATGTCTCACGCGAAACGGGCCGGACCACATCTCGCGCGGCGTCCCGGAGCGCAACTTTTCGAGGATGTCTCAGGCGAAACGGCCAATCCCAGCCAACTCAGAAACGAGAGTTGTGAGGATGTCTCAAGCGAAACGGCCCAAACCATCAAATTTTTGTGAGGATGTCTCTGCTCCGACTTCCCTCGGCCGGAGTTAGTTTCTACCAAAACAGCACCCCGTTCAGCAAGCTGTTTGGGGAAAAAATTGAGTCGCTTGTTTCTGCGAAAGCTCAACCAATTCAAAACCAATTGAAAACCAACTTTCGGCACAGTCGAGGAAACAGAAGTCTCAAGGGAAGACGCATGAGACGAAATTATGGGAGGAGGAGGAAGGAGGAGGACGAGGAGGAGGAGAGGAGAAGAGGAGGAGACGAGAAGAGAAGACGCGGGGAGCTTGTAATTCAAAACGGGCACACCAACACCACAGGATGGTAGTAAAGAATTGTCGTAAGAATTTCCACGCCCGTGCGCTTCGGCGCGCGGCTCGCCGAACCTGTCGCGTTGCCTGTTGCTCTCCCTCGCCCGTGCATCTGCTGCCGTTTGCTGTCGTTGTCCACCCGGGACTGGCGACCATTTGAAAACCATCCCATGAGTTCTATCCTACAGTCAATCCGTATAATGAGGATGCGCGATTAAAGATGCTAGAGTCTTGGAGGGCCAAGGTAACGTTAGTCGAACGAGCTTGACCAGGGAAAGTCGCTGAGGATGGGCCGAAGGGGCAAGGATGCAAGGGCAGCCTTCGACCTTCGAAAGTGGCTCATCCTTACTATGCGGGACTGCACCGACCATTTGAAAAGCATCCCATGAGTTTCATCCTACATAACGAAACAGTTGACACGAGGCGCGTGTCATCAGAAAAGCTGCAACGAGTGAGCCTAAGACGAAGCTGAGGCGAGGATACAATCGGGCGAGGATAAATCGAGAACCTCTGAGATCCGGCGGTTCTGGAGGATGTCTCGCTCGCCACGGCCTTCTCAGAGCATTCCAGAACGCTCTGAGAGAATTCTGGAACGCTTTGAAATGGATTGATCCTCGTCCGAGCCCCGCCCGAACCTCTGCCAAACATGGCCAACCGATTGGAATCTCGCGGCTCTCAGGGCAACGCTCTGGTACGGGAAAAGCCTCGGACCCGGCAAAGCAATCGGCCCAGCACGCCGAAATGGAGCCTGAGAGCTGGCCACGGAGAGGAGTCGGGCACACCCAAGTGGAGAAGGCACGCCTGCCTAGCAATCGTCATCGCCACAATATTCATTCTGATCAGCGTCATGAACGGTGTCGCGGTCATCCTGGTCATCATCGTCGCCAAAACGCCACCACTACTGCCATCGATAGCATCACCAGTTTGACATCTAACTCAAAGCCGCCCCTTCTGAAAATGAGCCATGAGCACGCGGTAAGACTTCTGGATCTGCTGAAACTGGGCATCCGCCAGAGTTTTCGAAAGGCCAGTGGTGTCGCCAGCGGTGCGTTTGATAGCGATGTAATACTGCCTCCGAATGTCCGCGGCTCCCGCATCTGGTGGAAGGCCGAGGATCTCGAGGTGGTCCTCGATGGACAAGCTTTTCGCTTCCCTCCTGTCAGCTGTCTTGTGCCTGCACTCAGACATGTGTTCCACCACTCTGGGACTGGGGCGTTTCTTCTTCCGCTTCCTCGTAAGCTGGTCCTCTTCCTCGGCATGCCTAGATTCACCGCGGCTCTCTTCTGATCGGGGGTCAGAGCTCCTGTTCTTCCGACGGCCCCTGGGCTTAGACGAGGCCTCCAGTGTGGCTTTCACCTGTGACCCCTTGAAAGCCGCATCACGTGACAGTTGCGGCAGCGTGGTATCCTCGTCCACCCCGGCCCTGTTCACCGATACCAGCGTGGCAAACCTCTCAACACAGTCCACCGTCCGCACGACTTCCACCAACGGTGCTGGCACACACTCGCCGTCGCCTGAACTGGCCTCCATCTTCGCGAGCCAACTGCCGACAAGGCTGAAGCTCGACTTCCTCGGCGACCTTGATCGCCGCCTTGGCTTCCGCCTGGATCTCTGCTTCACTATCGCAGACTTGTCCTCAGCGCCGAGCGGAGCGCCAACGCACAGAGGCTCTGCTGCAATGAAGAGGACCGCAGCCGTATCCGCTGGCGGCTCCTCGTCAGGCTCCCCGCACGACTGTGCTGGCCCGTCCTCCGAAGCCTCATGCTGCACCTTGGTCTCAGCGGCATTGCCCTCCTCCTGCGCCGCCGGCACATCCAACTCGCCTGGGGAAACCAAAAGGTACAAATACCGTTACTCCCCGGACGTCTCATAGGGTGCGTTCCAACCAGAATCTCGAGGCAAATCCAGCGGTGGCGACGAGGGCGTCCCAGAAGGCCCGAAGAGGGGGAAACGGGGGAAGGATAGCGGAAGCGGTGTGGATACAGTCAGCCAAACAATCAGGACGCACGATGAGGATGCAAGGGCCTTGGAAGGCAAAGTTTGCGTTTTCGAACGGGGCTGGGCAGCGAAAGTCGCCCAGGATGGGCCGAAGGGGCAAGGATGCAAGGGCAGCCTTGGAAAGCTGGTCATCCTTACTGTGCGGGTTGACTGTACCTTTTCCTCCTCTGATCGCTGCCCCTGTCCGAAGATCCGCCGCTCGGCCCCCTGGCCGCCGCCAAGATCGCTCGACGCTCGGCCCACAGCGCCACAGCGGCACCGGCGGCAGCAGCCACCAGCAACGACACTGCCAGCGCGGGGTTGGCCCCGCCCGCAGGGTGGGCATCGGCAGTGGGCGCGAGCTGCGGGAGGCGCTCGACTGTGGCCCCTGCCTCGTAGGAGTGGGTCAAGGGCCGGTCCAGCAGGACGCAGGGGAACAAAGAATGACATGAACATGGAAACTTGGCGGTCCGCGCGGACTCCTCGGATCGGCGATAGCCCCTGGCGCGCTCCGCGCGCCAGGGAGGAGGGGGGGGTCCAGCGCAGGTGCGAGAAATCAGCGCAAACCTCTGAGTTTTTTATGTTTATGTCATTGGTTGTTCACCGAATGGTTCCAAAGCCAACAATCGAGGCTGTCTCAGACTTGGCGCCGTCGGCGATGACGATCTCGTCGCCGACGCGGAAGCCGGCCTCGGACGTGACGCTCATGGCCGTGTCTCCGGCCTGGAGGCTCTCCGTCGTCAGCGTCCTGGTGGGCGCGCCCGCTGAGGTTGGGTTCGGGGTTTGCTCGTGCGTCGGCAAGGGGGCTGGCGCGGACGGCGTGGGGGTGGGCGCGGGAGTTGGCGTGGAGGTGGGCGTGGCAATCGGAGAAGCAGTCGGCGGTGCAGCTGGGGCCTGTGTCGGCACGGCAGACGGCACAGAGGCCGGTGCAGAGGTCGGCACAGAGGTTGGCGCCCAGCTTGGCGCCCAGCTTGGTGCAGGGGTTGGCGCCCAAGTTGGTGCACGAGTTGGGGAAAAGGTGGGCACTGTTGCCGTAATGACTGTGCTTGTCCTGGTCGTGACTGTCGCGGTAGTCATCGTTACGGTCGTGGCTGTTATGGTGGTGTCCGTCGTAGCTGTCGTCGTTGTTGCTGTCGCTGTCGCGCTGAGCGTCGGGCTGGGCGTCGGGCTGGGCGTCGGGGATGGCGTGGGGTTGGGCGTCGGCCTCGACGTCGGGCTGGGCGTCGGGTTGAGCGTGGGGTTGGGCGTCGGGATGGGCGTCGGGCTGGGCGTCGGGTTGGGCGTCGGGTTGGGCGTCGGGGATGGCGTGGGGTTGGGCGTCGGCCTCGACGTCGGGCTGGGTGTCGGGTTGAGCGTGGGGTTGGGCGTCGGGATGGGCGTCGGGCTGGGCGTCGGGTTGGGCGTCGGGTTGGGCGTCGGGGATGGCGTGGGGTTGGGCGTCGGCCTCGACGTCGGGCTGGGTGTCGGGTTGAGCGTGGGGTTGGGCGTCGGGAAGAGCGTCGGGCTTGGCGTCGGGCTCGACGTCGGGCAGGGCGTCGGGCTGGGCGTCTGGAAGAAGTACCTGGCGCGCACGCATACCTTAGTTGTACCATAAGGGGTGTCACATCCAGCATTCCAATAAAATAGGTTACCAATATTCGTTGGCGACAGGGGGCCGAGCGTGAACCATGCATCGGTTCCAGCCGCACATTCGGTCGAGTACCAGAGAATAGATGTCGAGAAATCTCCCACGCCGCCCTCAAAACTGCGGACAACGCATCCGTAAGTTGCATCAACATTGTCGTTCGGCTGACGCGCCCATGACATTCCGGTCACGCCCGCGGGCGTCACAGATGGCGCCTGGAACATAGGCCCAGAATAACCACCGTGGCAATAAGTCTTGCACACGGCCTGCGACCAGGCACCAGCCAGACCAGATGGGGTGCTGAGCGTCTGGCTGGGCGTCGGGTTAGCGGCGGCGGCGCGGGCCCAGACGAGGCTGGCAATCAACCAGGAACGGGCCATCTGCGAAATGTGTGCCAACATTGTGTTGGCATGCGCGGAGTGAAAGGTGCGCGCTTAGAACTACTCACGCCAAGCTGGAGCCAAACAGTCTTGAGCTAAAATGATTACAGGCGCATCCTTGTGGAGCCATCGGGCACTTCTGAGCAGTCTTGGGGGACTCGAACTTTCTTCGGTCCCTCTTGAACTGTCTTGGAGTCCGCTTGGGAGCCTCGTGGGCCGTCTGGGAGCAATACGCGGACGTCGCCGACAACATCTCATTGTTGTGGGGACACCCCTAGCAAAATCGCAATGTGGACAAAGTCCAGGACCACGACGAAGTGGACAGCATCTCATTGTGATGAGGACATCGTTCGGGAAATCGCTTGTTTTGGGCCAGGGCGAAATCGGCAACATTTCAATCGCGCGGGGATCAAATAAGAATGTTGGGTAAGACCGACACCAAGACGGCGTTTGTGAGAATGTCGCGAGCAAATTCCAAACACGCAATTTCTTGGAGATGTCAGCAGGAGCGCGTTTCTTTATTTTCGGCGATAATGGGCGTTATGGGCGGGGGCGGGGGCGTATACTATAACGCCCCCTCCCCGCCGTGTGGCTCTGGCACCACAAGAGCCATTTTCCTATTTTCCAAAATAGCGGCCGTCATCAGCCCGGCCCCCCCCCCCGATGACGTCACGTTCCGCGCCGGCGGCGTCCAGGAATGCTTAGGGATGGCCAGGGCCAACTACGAGAAGCATGTAAGTGGCGATCTGCCCCACGGCGCCTGTGTACACCACAATGATCGCGTGCACCACCACGCGCGTGTACACCACATCGCCTGCGTACAACGCGGCAGCCGTGTACAACGCAGCGCCTGTGTACGCCACAGTTCTTGCCTGCACCACAGCGCTGGTGTATACCACGGCGAATGTGCACACCGCAGCAAACATGTGCAACACACGGCCTGTGTACAAAACAATGCTTGCGTGCACCGCAGCGCCCGTGTAGACTACAGCGCCTGCCTACACCATAGCATCCGCGTGCAACGCAACGCTGGTGTACACCACAGCGCCTGCGTGCACAGGACAGGAGGTTGAAGGAGCATGTCGGTGAGGATCTGCTGCGGACAGCTGAAACACCACGCCAAGGAAGTGCTGATAATACTTTGCGACGTTCTTCCCTCCTCCCTCGTCCTCCACCTCCACCTCCATTTCCTTTTCCTCTTTCTCTTCCTACTTCTCCTCCTCGCTCACCGTTCCCCCTGTCGTGCGAGTCGGCGCTACAGCGCACGTGCGCATGTCAGCGTAAATCGCAGAATGGTCTATTATATCCAATCCACCAGGTTCTCGGATGGCCACTTCTGCTGGAGCCTCCTGGACGCAGATGGGAGGAGTTAGGATGATGCGGGAAGACTCGGTAGGACTTGAAGATTCCAACGGCGCTCCATTTTCCATCATGATTATCTTTCGAATCCTATGTAAAACAATTGTTTTCAGTGGAATCCACTGGCGCTCCATCTTGATATAAGGATTCGCTCTAACGTTCTATATGCAACAGTGGTGCTCTGTTGCACACGGTTGCTGCGGAGAACGCAGGCGCCGTGGTGTACACTGGTGCTGTGTTGCGCACGGCGGATGTGGTGTACGCAGGCGTGTACAAAAGCGCTGTGGTACTCGCAAGCGCTGTGACACACACTGGTGCTGTGTTGCACGCGGCTGCTGTGGGGTACATAGGGGGTGTGGTGTACGCAAAGGCTGTGGTGCAGATCGCCACCTACATGCTACTGCTACCCGTCCTCGGCTGACGCGAAACGCGACTTCATCGGCCGACGCGAAACGTGACTTCATCGCCCCCCCCCCACCCAGATGACGGCCGTCATCTGTCCGGAATAAAGAACAGGCTCTAGCCGCGTCCACGCGCACGACGACCATGAGCGACGAACGACGAGCGATAATGACGACGACCACGACGACCACGACCACGACGACCACGACCCCGACCCCGACCCCGACCCCGATAACGACGACGACGACGACGACGACGACGACGACGACGACGACGACGACGACGACGACGACGACGACGACGACGACGACTACCACACCCCTATGCGGATTCCTTTGCGGACGCCGATACGGATCCCCTTGCGCACGGCGGCAATGCCCGGGGCGCAGTGGGGGGGGCGCCGGGGGCTATAATGCCCTTTGTGCCCCAAGCCAAAAAGAAACACACTCCGAACTCCAGCGAAAACCCCACTTTTAAGGAACATCGTCGTACGGCGAATCCCCAAACATCCCCATTGCCCGAGGATGTTTCAAGCGAAACGCTCGTTTTAGCAAACACGATGCTAACAAATTCTTCATCTGGTGGGGGCGTCCCTATCGATATCGCGATTCCGGCCCGTTTGGAAGGGGCCCCCAGGGTCATTGTAGGACCTGTGTTGGAGTCGCTTCGGCCAAGCCATCGAATAACGATGCCCAAGCAATGACCAGAACATTGGATGTTCAGGATGTCGGCTCCAACATCGCAATTGTTGGCAGGCTCTAAGACGATCTGAATAGCACTCTTTTGACTATGTGATGTTGGAGGTTGCTCATTGTTCGAAGATTCCTCCAGTGGACTCTCAAATTGCGGCAGTCGTAAAGGCGTAGTTGAGGTCATGTGTGGGCGATGTGGGGGTTATTGTGGGCCGTCTTCTGGTCTCCCACGGGCGATACCAAAACGATGTTGAGAACAACTATGGTCTATGTGTTTAGACCTGCCCCCACGAGCTCGCCACCTTTGGAACACGACGCCGAAACACAAGCGAAACGCCTGTTGTTTGTTTTAAGGGCGGCGCTGATTCCTATCATTTGCGTAAAGACAGGGCGGGCGAACACCATGTTCGAAGATATGGCACATCCGCGAAGCCACAAGTTTGGAGGATGCATCAAACCATAATCATGTGACTGTAAAAGCACTGTTGGGTACATCGCGATTGCTTGAACATGTCCGTCGCGAAATCGCCGTGTTCGACACCAGGAAGGGGGTACGCTCTGCCAGGCACGGGGACGACCAGCGCTCGTTCTCTGAGACGGCAAGGGGCTCCACAATCGAACCGGCAAGTCGGATCGGCAATCGAAATGGATCGGATCGGCGGAAATCAGTCGGATCGGCAGAAGGCGGCAGGCTAATGTGCGTCCAGAAAAAATCGGAGCCCGGATCGGACCCCGGCATCGAATCGATTCGGAATCGGAAGCCATCGAAATGGAACCGAACCAGATCGGAGAAATCGAAAAGAGCCCTTTGAGGTCGCGGGATGGTTGGTTCATTCTCTTGGAGCCCCCTTGGTGTTAAGATTTTGGTACGCCATACCACACATGAAGACCAAGCTTTGCGAGCGTCAGCATGTATCGCCCCTTCTGGGTTTGTTTGAAGGTCGTCGCGGGGCTCCTTGCTAGAGAACAAGGATCCGAATATCCTGACACTATGACGGGCGCCAGCTCTCGCTCCACGATCGTCCGTTTTACTGGGTAGTCGAAGCCAATCTGGCGCCAATCTGGCAGGCCCAATCTGGCAAACGGGGGCAATCTGGCGAGGGAGCCAACGCGAATCCAGTCTGGCGAATAACCCAAATCCTCCAATATGGCCAGGCCAGATTGGCCCTTGGGGCCCAATCCAGTCTGACAGTCTGGCCTTCGACTACCCAGTTTTATATACGATCTCAATGGTTTCGATCTTCACAGACCCGGCCAGTCTGTAATATGTATATATATATATATATATAAAAATACACACCAATTAGAAACTAACAAGTATGTGTCTGGTGATGTAAGCGCGCGGAGGGGATCGCGCGCGCCCGCTTTTTCCCACCAGCTCGCAACCAACGTTGCTGCGATCAACGCGGTGGCCAACAGTCGCGTTTGACAAAGATGGCGACAGCGGCTGGCGACGGCAAGGACGGAACCGAACGACGCGTGGGCCTAGCAACAGCTACCTTCGGAGCTGCAAGACTTCATCATTATCCCCGGGCACAGTGGCCTCCTGGTGCCAGTCCCAAAAGGGCGTTTGCGGCGCGCGCGGCAAAATCGCATCTACTCCTGGCAAATCCTCAAACCGGGCTGCCGTATCCAACAGATACCCTGTGCGCCAGCCCATTGCAATTTAGTCCGCCAGAAACTGTAGCCCCATCTTCGAGATCCTGCAATCGCCAGGCAACATGCGGCTGAACCGCGAATTACTTGCATGGTCACAGGCGTGTCCAAATCCATGGCGACGCGCGGTAAAGCGCGCGCTCCTCATATGATCGGCAGTTGATGCGACCATCTTTCATCCAACACCCGATATCCGAATTGCATGTGTCATCGCCGATTACGTCCTTCATATTCTCCGTTCGCGGGAAAGAAGTTGCGGCTGCAATTGCGAATGCCCCACCCCGCTGCCACTCGCGACGGTGCTGATGGTCAACCCGCCATCCATCTCCTCCCGAGTAGTGCTGATCAGTGTCCCAAGTTTAGTCTCACCGTTGTCCCTCTCCCTCTGGATGTCGCGACCTCTCTCGTTCACCGCCGACGACGCCCCGGAAGCGGCGGCAACTGACGGTCCTTCCACAGGCGTCGCGACGTCACCGGCACGAGGGTAGGTGCGTCTTGCCATGGGTGGCGGCGAACTTCTGGCGCTCCTGGCAGCAGGTCTGTTCGAGGGCGACGGATGAAGCGATCGGCGATCAGGCGGTGCCAGCGGAGTCACCACGTTAGGAGCCACGTCGCCCCATCGCGGACGGCTGCGGGTAGAGGCGGCAGCCGTGCTGCAGGCCGCCTGCGCTGCACTATCCGAGCCCGGAGCGTCGCCGCTGACCGAGCAGCGGCCCCAACCGTTGGCGCGCCCATCGGAATGGCCCTGAACGCTGGGGCAAAGCAACCGGTCGAGCCAGCGTCGGCCTTAGTGCTCGCCACCATTATTTCACCAGTCTTGCTGGCAGTGGACTTGCCCTCCTCATCGACATCCACGGGGTCCGCGTTATCGGCCAAGCTGACAACGGACCCCCCGCTTTCTGTGTAAACACGGATGACGCCAAACGCTATCGCGTCAGTTTGCTCGTCAACTTTAGCCATCATCTCATCCCAAAACTCTGCGCTGTCG